TTGATGCCAAAAACGACCATGTATAGAAAATACGACAAAACTAGAGCAAAAATCACCGTTAACATTGCAGAAAAAGCCAGGATAAAAGACTTGAGGAAGAAACACATGATGACCAGGACAAATGCCATGGCAATTCCAGGATATTTGGCATTCTCAACTAAAAGGATATTGAAAAGATCAAATCTGAAGTTGGCAAAGTCAAACCCCACCACTTTGACTCCTTTGTGCTCTGGTAACGAATCTATGAGTTTGCTTTCATAKATGTACTTAAAAAGATCATAGCTATTCCATTGTATAGGTGATAAAGTGGCAGAATATTTCAGTTTCGTTTGATTTGGKGTTTTCAAGAATTCACTGTCAGTCAAATAATTCATTATTAAATAGACAGCCCTTTTCAAACTACAGTGGCACGGAACTGTAGGGCAGTTAGGAGTGGTTTTATTATAAGGATCTGGGTCGTCACAGTAGCAAYCTTGAGTCAAAGTACCTCGTGAGAAATAAGTTGAACAAGATTGAAGGACATTCAGTGCTTTTGTTACGTCAGCATCATCAATGGTCTCACATGTTTTGTTAGCTAATTGAGCAGCAAAACCACCCAATGAAATGCTGCTGCAGCCTTGGTAATAGTAATAACCATATTTGGAAGGCGTTGATATCATTATCCTCTTCTCCAAGTAGCACATGGACTTCAGATTGTCAGCGGTGAGAAGATTTCCTGAGGATTTGGCTTCAAAAACCAATCTAGCATCATAACCATATGAAACCTGGCAGCTAGTCGATGTTTTTGATCTGCGTTTCCTTGATACTGAAGGACTTTGCTGGCCTTGATTCAGCTTAACTGTTGTTAAAGATTTTTGCTTTGACAGAGTCTTAATAGTATTGATGCGATTACTGAGATCAGTACCCCTTGGTTCAAAGCCCTATAAAGCAAATCAGGAGAAAACTGGTATCCTTATATCTGTGAAAGAAATTGCATTTACTTGCTGTGCAATGGCCAGTTAATAAGCATATTGAATTGGGTAGATTTCTATGGCTTTTTAATCCCTAAAATTTAGAAAGTGATCCCGTTTTAAAGAAAACATATGAATAATATATTATATTAAATTTCCTGGTTCACATAAGAATGATTAACAAGCTTGGTTTGGACTAACGTGTGACTTTCAACTAACAAATGAATAATAAACTCAATTCATAATCACCGTAACTGCAAGGAGAGATTTTTTCTATTAATTTTTTCACACACCAATAAACTGTGTTAGTGACTTGTGGTATCTTTATCCTCTGCAATTTAGCTGCAACCCACATAAGAACCTGCTTGATCATGTTTGGCTAAACAGGTTCTTATGTAAAGGAGTATTAAAATGGCAAATTTCTGCCAAGAAATTCTTAATCCTCTAGGGTTTTTAATTGTGGGTGCTTCCTSTATTTGTGAGCCATTTTTTGGTCAAATTTGCACTTAGAAATAGACATTCCAAAAATATTTCTTGAAGTGGTCACACCTTCAATTCAAATTTTGCAACTTGTTTACAAATTTACCTTAATTGGATCATCAAAAGATGGAAGTGCAGGTGCTGAGGGAAATATTGTAGAGGCTAGAGCCAGTAYAACAATCAAAATGAAGATCAGGATAGCCACTACCAGTGCTATCACATCTTGCTTTAAACATCTGACAAAAATATAAAAACAGATGTTATACCACTATTCAAATGCTAATTCATTAAAATTAGAATGCAGAGTAACATATAACTTGGGGTGGGACTCCTTTTCATAGAGGGTTTGAATGATAAATTGAAAATGTCTTATTTATGTGGGTGTGTGATTTTACCTCTACAAAAAGATTTAATTCTGACTATAAATGAATTGAACATTTATCAATTGATGCATTTCAACTGTTGGATTTCAAGTGCTATGGATCACTTTAGATGTTAAAAACTTAAAAACACTTAAGGTCTTTGCGCAAGAAAATCTGTCGTCAAATAAAGCAGGTTTTTTTTTGCTATGAATTCGAAAATAGAGTATTGTGTTTGTAGAATGCGAATAATAATAAATGTTGGTAATTAATCTGGCTTATCTTCTATTAATAACCTTACTGTATTTTAATAATAACCATTACTATCATCATTTATCATATAATTATCTATGAAATACCTATATTTCTCCATTACGTAAAATTGATATTTTCACTAGTGAAAATAACATGTTATTTTCACTAGTGAAAATAACACATTCGAGGTTTCGCTAAATAATGCAAGTAAGAAAAAAAGGTATTTTACGACATAATTTGCATTCATATGTAATTATATGATAAATAGAATATTACATGTTCGCTTGGGGATACGAATTTTATCTTCTCGTGTTGAAAATCTCTACGCTCACTCGTCGAGAGATCTTTTCAACACTTGAATATATGTATAAAGTAAATTTACTAAAAAAAACTTTATAAACAGAATAGATTTTAATATATTCTTTGTTAAATGAAAAATTCAGGAATTGAACTGTGYGCCTATTTTGAAGAGCCTGCAATGCAAATATAGTGTCGCAATTTTAATTAAGATCCGACGCCTGGTTTGTTTTATCTGTTTCTATTTACTTGTCGAACTGGAGATATTAAAGATATTATTAGGTCGTATTTTTAAATGTTTTCTGTCAGAACATACTCAAATTTTTATCATAATACTAACCCATGCGGATACGTTTCTCAAATATTTTTTTAAAAGTTTGAGAGTTTTCTTGAAAATGAAACCATGCTTATAATTAAATCAACAATGTCAATACCATTCAGAACTTGAATAAGAGGTTTAGAAAACCTAGCATYTCATCATCTTTAGACTACTAGTCTTACCTCATTCGTTGTTCTTCCTCAACAGKTTTCGATTTTCCAAGAGCCATGATCAAGCCCGATCAGGTTTAGGCCCTAATTTGAAAGCTAAACGACAACGATTTTTAAGTGAATGTTGCTCTTTTAAAATTCTAACAGTTTTACGGTGCACATTACATGTTTATAATTTATGAAATATGATTTTAAAAATAACTTTTGAAAGAAAATAGGCGATATTCTTGCGTAAAATCTGATATGAAAAAATCAGCGAAATGGTTCAGCCTCGATGCAAACTCGTAACGAGCTTCAAACGACGGAGTAATCGCTATAAGAAATACTTCTGCATTTCAACAAAATATTCCATTAAAAACACTTTGTACTATTAAAGTAAGAATAATTCCTTACCACTTAATTAATGATGACTTTCTTGTGTAAGTCAGTTTCTCATCTAAAGCTTAGGAGCTTGGGTATAATTCTAATCTTTCTTTCGTGTACCAGCTCTGTATGTCTATGGCTGCCAAAGAAACCGAATGCATTTGTATACACTATATCGCGGGCTTCCTGTGTAATAGAACATGGCGGACGTGAAGAATGATGTTTGTGAGTCGTCGTTCGGAGCGTTGGCGGACGAACTCATAGATATTATTCTATCTTATGATCTTTTAGATCATCACGATTTATGTCGTTTTGCACAAACTTGCCTCCGCTTCAAGGAAATTGCGTATTATCCAGAACTATGGAAGAAAAAAGCACTCCGACGGTGAGATTCTCTGATTTTCAACATTGCAGTCTGGCTACTGTTTCATTTACCTACGTTCCTTATAGCTTAGTGTGACAGATAAGTTATTTATTCTGCAGTTGGAAACGATGGAAGAATCAAGTGAAAGACCACTGGAAAATTATATACCAAAATAGGTATAAAGTTGAGAAGGAAATCCTGGCAATTCTTGACAGACTCAGTATACAGTATGGCGCTAAGGCTGATGTCTCGCGCTCACAGTACAAATCGTTGACGTACCTGACCAGTGAGAGTCCATATGCGGATTATTTTGAGTGCACTTTAGAGGAAATTATCAACGGAAACCCCGAGATTCCAAGGTATTACGTAATCCATCCAAGAAGCATCATACAAGAGCGCCTACTCGGGCTGCAATATATAGTAGTCACGTGATAAATGACGTCACATTCCGTAAGGATTAAGATGACACATCAACAGGAGCTGTAGGTTGTTGTCCCAGGCTTAATTAATATCAGGCAAAATAAGAGAAGTTGCATCCCTGACTCGTCTCCATTWRTCTCTTGCACTTTAGTGTCTCAACTGCRGGAATCAGTCAGGTTGTATSCCATATTACATGGTTACCAAAAGTCTTTTCGTCATATAGCRGCTCAATTTTAGACCATGKGACAACTGACATACATGTAGCATGTGATGTCAATCAAACCCCCAGGCAAATAAAGTCAACATTATTTACAAAGTATAAAAGTGTTGCGTTATTGTTAGAAATAATTGCATCACTTGTGCTTTTACGCTCACTTGGAARTCACAGTATGCCATATYGTATCATATATCTATTTCAAAAAAGGTTGTTAGATRAAATGGCGGATGTCAATTGACAAACGGAGATTGCATGGCCGAAAGGAACCATAAGTTTTATGAATTGGTGGGAAATTGATTTATACTGTAAGACAGTCTGTAGCAAACATTAACTCTATTTATTCTCCATTTTGAAGCAAAGTGAACCCAACAAGTGAAATTTCTAATGTAAAACATCATAACCATAGTCCCTTTCGGTCATGTGATCTCCCTTCAACAATCGCCATTCACCATTCACCCCGACAGCATTTTTTGAAATAGGTGTATGRTMATGGAAAATTTGGAGAAAGGGTTCTCRGATATTTGATTTTTTGTTAGTTAAACCAGGGCAAAGAAACTCCAGCTGATATTGCCTATCATTGAATAGTAGCTACTTGTATCATTTGCAAATATTAGTCTGAAGAGAGAACCAGTTTACTGGAAGAGCTTTAATAATGGCAATAAGTWACAATAGCTTTATAGGCAGAATGAGTCAGTCATGGGTAAACAATATGCACTGCTGACCAGTACTGGTATATACAGAAGGATTGCAGCAGAACTAAAGTGCAGTTATTCAGTCAAGTAATTTTCTTTCCTCAGGGATTCTAATTTAACACATCGATATTATGCAGAAAAAATGTATGATTATGCTCAGAAGCTGGTCCTGAAAAAAGAATGGGGAAGTCTTATGAACAAACCGGTTGAAGAACAGCATTTAGAAGTTGGTATGACAGCTGATTTTGTACACGCACAGAAAGTACTATGATATGATAATTGTGAAGTGATARATACACACTGGGTATTTATATTTTTTTCTCTAATTCATCATCAATCTTTACTTCATAGGTGCAATGATAATAGCAAAGTGGATTGATAACAAAAACACAGGTGATCATGCTAAAGAGGCTTTTGCCATGCTTGATGAAATGGCTAACAGAGTTAGAAATATTGTTCAAGAAGAAGTACCTGCTCAAGATTGYAGCTCACCAAGWGATCCTAGACAGKGTATGCAGATTCTTGAAGGCATCAAACATGTAATGTACAATGAGGAAAAATTCAACGGCAACACACAGGATTATTACAATGTCAACAATTCATTGATTACTCAGGTAAGCTAGAAGATTTTACTTTTGAGGGTCTTTAGTTTTCACTTTGGGTAAGAGTGATATTTCCTTTTTTGCTGTATAGCCTTTTCRTGTATGTGTCATTATCCTGTGTTGACTCTTCATAGACCTTCATTTTTGTTTATTTGCAGGTTTTAAAAACAAAACAAGGAATCCCAATAAGCTTGGCTGTGATTTTTGTTGCTGTTGCACGAAGATTGGGTGTTCATGTTGAGCCAGTAAGATTCTATGATACATTCTGAYTGAATGAATTCATTACCTACACAGGCTAGCAGCTCAATAAACAATCTAYGATAGTTTGACATGAATGCCGTCTCATGAAATGGGTAGCACTAGAGTGCAGTTCAGTCTGGTTGGCAGGATTACTTTTATAAGCTTACATTTTGTAGGATATCAAATGTATAATAAATATCTTACTATATGGTTTAGTTTCCCTTAGTGCTCCAAATTATTTTAACAGCAAATGAATAATTCATTTGCAAACTTTTGTTTTAATTTATGTTTTTATATTTTTTTGCCAGGTTAATTCCCCAAATCATTTTTTGATTAGGTGGTGTTCCAGCCAAGATTCTGAGATGTGAGGGCAATTATAACTATATTCCATGATTATTTGAATTATATTATTATATAMATATGATGAAATGATGGCTTGAACTGCGGTGAATAAATGTGTGTGGAATGATCATGGCAATGAAATAATAATCTGAGCGACTATTAATATTGGATCGCCTGATAAAAAATTCAGGCTTCAACAGGAATCGAACCCATGACCTGTGCGATACCGGTGCAGTGCTCTTCCAACTGAGCTATGATTTCAAGCCAACTGTGTTGGTGAGCAGTCATTTCATTGGGTGAATCCATAAATACTAAGGAACATGAAATGATTGTTTGAACTGCGTGGGTGATCCATTTAATAATTTATATCATTTACATTATTATACTGCGACAATCATAATTCCTCACATATTTATATAAATTTGGATATATTTTTTATTATTAATGATCTGGTACTTTTGTGGCAGGGAAGATCTGTCTGATAGCTATACATATATCGATGCATTTGATGAGGGGAAATTCTACTCYCAAGAACAGTGTGCTAACCGTTTCATCTCTGGAATTGCAAGTCTGATGCCCACAAAGACCCTTTTCCCTCAAGCCTTGCCAAGAGATGTATGCATCAATTGCTTGTCATAAATAAATCAAAWAAGGGTTTCCCCAAMCACRTCATGTTATAGTATATGACTGGCCATCATCTTGACCTCAAATAAGCACACTCTTATTTATGATTACACTTGTAATGACATTTTACGAAATCCATCAACAGGTCTTTATTAGAATGGTGACAAATATTGCGAATATTTATCGTACATCTGTAAGGATGAACAATGGGTATGTCATTYATTGTATTGTGAATAGAGAGCTCAGGTGTTGTCCTGGGCTATATAAGCTATGAAGTATATTTGGGGGGGAGGGGTTGTAGGGGCTTCATGAGGATGGTTCCTGCTTTGTTTTGAATGCAAAAACAAATCCCAAACTAGAGTATGTTTAAAATCCATTGCAGCTATTACTTTAAATAAACCTCTTTATTTCTCTTGAAACAGATTGCTTGTTTTTCGCAATGCTCTTGAGTTACTGACATTGGTTAAACCCAATGATTCAGGTTACAAATTACTCATAGCACAAGTTGATGTGCATCTCGACATAAACTTAGATGAGGTATGTTGAAACTTGTTTCTGGTGAAGGTCATTGCTCATGGATTCTTAAATAATTTAATTCTACCTCTTAAAATAARGAGTTGACCTTTCCTATCCTTTATGTTCTATTAAACAATGTGACAATTTTCATTTGCCAACATTCAAAGATCCCCTTTATTAAAATAATTCTGAACAAGACAAGAAAAATTTACAAATGAATGATTCTCTTGCGTGTTGTCAGGCTATTGGAATGCTTCAAGAAATACTTATTTTGGGACATGACATCACTGTCACCAAGAACCTAATTGAGCATGCACAAAAACAAAAGCATCAAGAAGAACAGGAGCAAAGGAAACCAGTCAAACAGGTTAGATGGCAATGAATTTATTAAAGAATGATCTGCTGGTAAATATGCGAATTTGGTTTTAAGCCACAATTCGCGTGCATTGGTCATTATATTGAATTTTAAGATGCAGTCACAGCCAGTGTCATATTTGATTTGATATGTTAGGCTCCACCTATCAGTGACTAAGGGCAGCTATCTCCATTCAAAACTGTTGTGATATATAAACACCTAAAACATCATGATCTCATAAAAACRTCTAATATGTTCAGGCCAGGTCTTCTACAGTCACTATCAACAGAATTATATTGCTTKTAATTGACAGAGATAGATCATTAGCTGATGTAGTTTAATTTAATTCACAGAAATTGAGGTCAGATGAAACAAATGATTTGGTTAATTACAGAATTGGTATGGTAATGCGTCATAGAAGGTATAGTATATAGGAAAAACTTATAATATAGTACTCATAGACAAAAATACAATGGGACAACATATTGGTGGAGTGTTAACTTTTCTTTGTGGGGATGAAGAGAGACACTACAGTGAAGAAGCATAAAAAAATGACATTTTGTACAGTTGCCCCAAAATTTTGCCCATGATTGTAGATAATATACTGGATGTTTCAAAATAAATTACTGAGTGGTGAAAAGAATAATAATCWTGAACTTTTAGGTACCATTATGGGTGTGTGATTTATGGCTGGGATTATTTCTGTGATATGGATGAGTCATGGATCATGCGGATGGGTGTCGACAGACTACCTCTTGGTCGATCTCAGCCATTCTWTAATGTCCTTGGTGATGATGGGTCAAGCAGATATGCAGCACAAGGTRGGTCTAAATTTATCCTGATCATTCTTTCACTTGATTATGGTCAGAAGCACCAAAAGGCTGTATGATTGTGATAGCTGTTAACTCACTATAAATCATTTGACTTGTAATGCATTTTCTTGGCAAGTAATTTACTATTAGGTAGAAAATTCCCTGTTTCACCATAGGTTTGATTTTGTCAAAAAATAGAAAACTTGTTAGAGGAACCAAATCAACCATTTAATCCACATCCAGAAATTGGGAAGTATTTTAAGTGGTGGACAGGAAGTCAGTACATACCTAATGAATACCTTGCCCAGAAATACCCAGAAGATTGCCAACAAGATAACTAAGGTACATCATATAAACCAGTTGTGTGACAGCCTTATTTGTATGAGATGGAAGTTGATTAAGACTTTGAGCATAACAATATTGAACAAAGGACTCTTTAACAAGATGATGAAACACATGCATAYTGCATGTACCGGTATTTCATCCGTCAATTTTAAGAATCTGCAGTACTCTGATAACTGTCATATATGGGTGTGTTACACTGTCTCAAATCCACAAATTCAGTAAGTAACACATGACAGTAAGTAACCATATGGTCGTCAGTAAGGGGGACCACAACAATTCAAATTAAATCTAAATATTTGCCTATCAATATTTGATAAATAAGGCCTGCAGTGCACTGTCTGTTACTATCAAGATTTGTTATGTTACAGGAGCACTATACTAACAAAACCAAAACAAACATTCCAACAAACATTTGAATTTTTGATGGTATTCAGTCTGGGACTTGTTGTAAGGTTGTTGTATAAATTTTATCCAGTTAATAGCTGCAGTATTCATCATTTGCACAACTCGAYATTGTATTATAATTGTAATTACTAATCAATTTATGAGCAGTAATAGTACTAATAATAATCTTAATTGATATATTGTTTATAATGATAATTCTATACATTTAGCAAAGGTTTATATTTTAGTATAATTCAAACAATGTACATAAATTATTGTAATTATTATATAATCACAAAGACAAAAGGTATTTGACATGTAAATATAGTTTGTCAAGATATAATAAAATCCATTAAATGCCAGGCATCTAGCTAGTTTGTTCTTTCTCTTTGATGGTTACACAGGCCACAGTTGCTTCTCTGGCAGATTTCCAGTRGTGTAATTTGATGGAGAAGTTAATCGATAATGGCAATGGTGGGATGCATTCTTCATCTGCTTCAGGAACTGTTTCCTCTTCCTTGGTACTTTTAGCCTTCCCCTTTTCATCCTTCCCTCCTTTTTTCCCATCTTTCCCTCCTTTTTTGCCATCTGCACCTTGTTTGCCTCCTTTTTGAGGCTTATCTGTGTCACCTATATTASATTGGTATCCGGTCAATTTGTTCGAAAAAGGCATCAAATAACTCAGTACAAAGAGATATCACTACAGATTAATCTCTAATTCATGATCAATTTCTTATATAACTTCATGTAAATATGATCTAATGCACTAATCTTTGCAGTATCATAGGTTTTCATCAGATGTGTATAAACATTTGTTGCCTTGAGTTGTAAAATATATGTTTATTGCTCACCTTTAGCGGCCTTCTTCTTCTCACTGCCATCTTGCTTTCCACTTATTACACTTTTATTGTCATCTGTCTTTTCATCATTTGTTTCTTGGCAATTTCCATCAACTGACAGTTCCACCTCTCCATCAACAAATGTGCTAAGTACAACATGATATGAGCCTAGAGTTTTGTGTTCCCTGGGTAATTCAAAGAGTTCTATTTCTTCCTGTTTGCCTTTACCTTTACCCTTACCCTATGATTACAAAATGATATATTGATGAGCTCTGTCGTAGAATATATAACAGCCAAGTGTTTTGATTAACTGACCTTATCTTTTGACTTTGCTGATTCTTTTCTTTTATCTGGTTTGTCTTTTCCACTTTTTTTCCGTTTATCTGGTTTACTCTCTGAGACAATCAATTGCATACAAATAACAGGTAAGGTTTGTTTGATAACAAGATACAAAATGCTGACTAACAACAATTTGCCAAAAAGAGTTTGAAAAGGACTAGTATTAATTGTTTATCACTTTTTTGCAAGCAAACTCCACCTTTCTAAATAAAGACTAAATGGAGCCAATGTTTACTACAGATTATCTTACAGTATAAATCACTTATTTCCCATCAATTAGCAAAACCCATGACTCCTTTTGGTTGTGCAACCTCCATCTGATAACATTGTTGTATCAAGTCTCACCTTTTCCACTGTAAGTACTCATCTTTCCATCATCATCATCTGCAATTGCATTTGGATCTTCTTGTACATACGAATGCTTTGTTTCAATCACATTGAAATCCATTCCTTTTTTAAGGAAGTCTTTGAGTTGGCGTAACTTGTAAGTTTGGAAATCTTTGGAATATTTGAGCTCAATGGCTTCTTCATTCCATGGGAGACTGTTTGTAGCAATCACTTTTAAATCTGTAGAGTTTTAAGAGTTATACATGATTGTGTGACTATAGACAACAAAAAATTAGTGGTTGTTTTAATCAGCATATTAAAATGTTTTGTAAATGGCACTCCCAACACTAGYTTTAAACTCAAATCCAGTCCATTGAGAAATGGAACYGATCATGTGCAAAGCATGCTTGTCATCCAACATCAAAAATGCGAAACTATACAACCATTAAGTATTAATGCTGATGGCTGTTTTACTCATATTGTCTGATATCTTGCATTGGTCAATAATGGTATGTTAAACCTGGAACTATTTTGCTAGGGTCATGAACCAGTTTATATCTGATTTCTGATCCCCATCTTATCACCTGTATCATTCTCGCTTTCTGTACTTGCTTTAGTCTCCATGTATGGTTGTTGTTCACCAGATGAATGTTGTATTGAGGAGATGCTCTTTGAATCATTTGCTATCTCCAAAGGCTGCTCAAGGAACATGAATTCCACATGATATTTATACTCTATCTTAGGAAATTCTGGTTGATTTTCTTGATCCTAAAGAATGTTAACTTTTAAAATTATTATTTTCAATCCATTTTTCTTTTATTTACTTATATTTTTACTGACACTGACCTCTAATTCTTCATGCTGTTTGACACCAGTGATAGCGCTAATAGAGATCGTCAGATGAGATCTGTCTAGTACAATATCTGATCCAAAAGTATGTAATACAAATTGAAATAAGACAGTTATGTTTAGTAAATCTTTACACTAAAGTAATACCTTTAAGTTTTGATAATCCTTTGAAATAATGCTTTTCATCAGCAGATATTCTGTTGTCATCAAGTATTGTTAGTTGACGTATTGAATCGATCACATAACCACGATAACCAGGAACTAACTGGAAATTGAAAATCAAAATAATTATCAAATGTCAGGATGATCCCAGGTTGAACATCTTAGCAAGATTCATGGAAGATCATGCATCGAATGGAAGATCATGCATCGAATGTTATCGAATTGACTTGTTAGGTATATAGGGTGGATCGAAGGTGTATGTATCAAATGTGTAATACTATCAAATTGACTTGTTAGGTATATAGGGTGTATCGAATGTGTATCGAATTGACTTGTTAGGTATATAGGGTTGATCGAATGTGTAGCAAATGTGTATCAAATTGACTTGTTAGGTATATAGGGTTTTTTCATTGGAATGGATTATACATTAAAATAGACAAAGTACCATGAGGGGATTTCCTTGCAAGACCAGATTGCGTAGTTTTGGAAGCTGCTTTAAAATATTGATAGTACTGTTGAGATCTAAGAGGTTGTTGTAACTCATGTCAAGAGATAACAGGTGACTCCTAAAGCAAAAAAAAAAATAACATTTACTACATAACTTGCACTGATAGATGCAAGTATATATTCTTCAGTTTATGTCAAGCAATTTCCACCAGCAATGCAGAGAACATATGATAGTAAATATATAACTGCTGATACCATAGTTCAGGCTTCATTTGAATAGGTATGGAGGAGATATTATTGTAGCCAAGACCAAGGTGGATTAGTGGTGGTGGGCTGATGCAAAGAGGAGTTATGTCTGATATTTGATTAGCTGATAATTCCAGTTCCTAGAGATGTAAAAAAGTAGTAATCATCATTGCAAAGACATAAATAGCTCAACAAGGTCATACACGAGACTCTGTACTGGTCCTTAACTTGTAGAATACTCTAGTGACCAGTATATTATGTCCACCATAGGTATGAGTTCTGAAATACCTAAGCATCCATTATTTAATAAAAAGCTATTACTTTGTACATGACAATACTATTAATTTAAGGCCAATTTAAGCAATTTTTAACCTACAACTGCAGTATTAGACTTGGCTTCAAAATGTCTTAGGCTAGGCTCACCCACACGTGCCACAACTGTCATATAATCAACACTAAGCCATTGCTAAACACGCACATTGATWAAGCAAAATGCTAGTTCCAGTCGTAATTTGAACAAAAAAAATCATGTCATTTTCCTATGTCCAGTGTTAGGATTTTAAGCCTTTGCTCACCTTACTACAAGTACATGCTGTGAGTTATTTGCCTAAGTCATTTATACAGCACAACTTGGAGATATCTAAACGACAATCATATCATGTAACCTCAGGTGCACATACCTGCAATTCAGATGGTAGATTCTTTGAGTTGACATCTGAGATCAAGTTTGCACTTAGAGTAAATTGTTTTAAATTCTTAAATTGGAGAAGCCCCTCATCAATTTCTGTAACCTACAACAAAAAGACAACCATTCTTCATGATAAATATCATGTCACATAGTTCAGTAATGCAATAAACAGAATTGATTAAAGGAAATATTTATTATTTTCAAATTTATAATAACTAATTGAGAAAGTGTGTTTTACCTTTTTATCTATAATCCTTAATGACTTGAAATAATTGAGCACGAAATCATGACTGAGTTTATGGGGTGTTTTTACTGCTATTTCTCTCAGCAATGAAGCTTCATTACTCCAGCTACAGTCTATATTGTACGGAGGTTTGAGAGATAACTCTTGTAGACCTTCTACTGTTTCATACTGTGCTGTTACCTCTGGTAAGATAATGTTATCAAGTCTTAAGTAGAAAGAAAGGCGYGCAAAACAATAATATCAAACAAATTCATTGCATGCATGCATTGCAGTTTTGTTACAATTAACTTAAGTTTCTTACCATTTCGTGAAATTGGCTGTATTTCAGTTTTAGTCTTCAATTTCGATGCTTTTATTGAAAGTTTTAAGTCAGGTATTCTCTGTTAAAACGTTCAAAACCATACTTTACGAGAACAATTATTTATCAATTAAAGATAGTATGTTGGTATCAATAACTTTTGATTGCTGATCAATTCTATGAAATAAATATAAAACTTACCCAGGTTCCAAATCCACAGGGAAACTCTTTAATGCAAAGAGCTTTTAGCTGGGAATTAAAAGCATCAGTAACAGTAAAAGAAGCTGGCTGCATTTTTGATTTTACTTTATATTGTGTTTTCTCCAATGCAGCCAGACCGCCATTTTGGTTGCTAACGAAAGCGCTCGTATCTAAGGAAATCAAGAGTTAGTTACCAGTTTTCGCACATCTGAYCCTGATCAGTGCCCAGACTCCTATACGTTTGGAATGAAGTCATAGGAAAAATGGCTCAAGAAAAGAAAGAATTTTTGCATATTGACGGAGACGAGGGGTTTCAGTCTCGAGCAAAGTCAATTTTCGAAAGCTTAGATAACCTCGAACCGTCAAAAGAATCAGAGAAATCGGCTTCCCCAGATGTTGCAAGAGGTAAAAGACGCAGACCCAACCAGGTGCCTGACCATGTTTTGCATCCAGAAAAATGGACAAAGTATAGTTTAGAAGAGGATGGCAGCGAAAGTCTTGGACGTTTAAGCGCGAATGAAGTAAACAGACATGCTGCTTTGAGCTTCTTAAACGAAATGAAAAACAGGAGAAAAAACATCGAGAAAGAAGCGTATTTATCAAGTGATGAAAAGCATCACACCTTTGCAAAACCTTGTGCTAAGGATAAAGATGCTACATCTACAGACAAAGAACACGCAACCTGCAAACAAGGTGTTAATGTTATGCCAGAATATGTGGTTGGTAAGACAAAACCTCAGATCAAGACGAAAAAAAACAGCTTTCCACCTTCCAATTCCACCACAAGTCAACATGCTGATGTAGTAGTACACATAAGCCATGTAAGTTTATTAGATACTGATGTTGATGCATCAGAACAAAACGATATTCATTATAAAGAAAAAGTAGCATTCACCAAGCATAAACACAGACAAAACAGAAACATCAGGAAGCAAAGACCCAAAGATGATAATGATGATGAATAAAGTAGAGCACCACTTTGTAAAAGGGTAGGGGTGGGAAAAAGTAAAACTTTTACCCTTATTAAAAGTAAAGTATAGATAAATGTTGTCCTAAAAGCTAAAGATAACTACCAGAAAAGCTGCAAGAGCTGCATGTTTTGAATTTGCCCAAGATATGACTTTCATCCTATCTTTTTTTATTAAAATATAACATTCACCTGGCTTCAGACCTTTCTTTTCTGTGTGAAATGATATTTTCATATTTTTGTAGTTTAATTGTCCAGCATGTTTCTGGATGCAGACAAGTTTGATGAAGTTTGCCAACATAGTCTTTGCATGTGCCATTATTGATTTTGTTTTCTTGTTTGCTTTTTAATTTATTTTCTAATCTATTTTGGTATATATAATATTCCCCGCTAGCTTAATTTTTAACTTCATTTGATGGACTCCACCTCTTATCATGTCTTCTGTTGTTTGACTTATGACATCAAACAATTCCCAAAAAGTCAGATTCCAAACAATTCATGCAAGTTCTCGCAATAGTGACCTCAAGAACACTGTTGGAGACAATGTCAGTCAGATGGAGTTTGGGAGGAAAGCTTCGTGTCAGACCCAGGAACTTCACTACGTCAGCAATAACGAAATCTAGCTTCTATTTTGACCTTTGGGCTGGCTGCTTTTGCCTCATTATGGTTGTAACACCTGTGATTCAACTAGGATCTGTTGCAGACTTGTACCCAGTCGTTATGCCTTATTTTTCAATACACTCAAGCGGTTGATGGGAGGGGGACACATTTCTTCCCCATTCCCTTCATGCATTGCAAGCCCCTCGAGAGAAGCAACTGGGAATGAGTCTGGATCTGTTTTGTGACTTCCATATAGAGATTTACATATACATGGTCATTGATGTACATACAGAAAGCCTCTCATGTGAAGCTGGGTTCACTCAAGCAAATTGAATTCATGCCTTAACATAATGGTTAGGTTTAGGGAAAATATAGGGTTAGCCACATAGCACTGCTTYGAACCCTAATGCTCTGCCTAAATAAATTCCYTTTCAGTTTAAGTCTTTGAAAATTTTTAAGCTCTTCAACACATAATATGTACATGAGAGGCCTTCTGTATGTATATCAGTGACACTGATTATTTAGATATGGATACTTTTTCAAAACAGCCACCTACTTCCAAATTTAATGAAAGCCCTGAAAACCTGTATGACAATCAGACTATTGCCCACCTTCCTAGACTATGCACATCTGGATTATTCTAATATACAGGCTAGAGTACAAACACTGTGCAACATAAATACCACTAAATACTGCTATGTTATGCTATATTCTTTTATTTTCTATTGTTTAATTAGCACTATTTTGTAGCAAATTTTGCAAAGTTTTGCACGCTTTTAGTGTTTGTACTCTACCACCTTCCTAATTTTTACCAAATATTGAATTCTGAGCATTTACACTGCTCCTGAGATTGCTTATCACTGATGATGGACTTTACCACTGAAATATTCCAAAATGCTGATCACTATTGTAGATGACAAAAATGAATTTCCATTCTTAATATATAATAGTGAACACACTTAATCCATGAAGCTTTAATAGTACAAAATAATATTAAATTATGCTAATTCCTTTGTTTTCTATTGTTAATCAACACTATTTAGTAGTAATCAGTAGTATTTGTTTCACGGATTTAGTGCGTTAACTCTATATACATCTGCATCTAAGCTTATTTCAAAATTGTTTTCTTTTAGTTGATCTTTCCTGGAATATCTTGGGTCCTTCTAAGTAGCCATAGCCCTGTGAATTATCTCTGGTACTGAATCTCCTTTCAATGACTTTATCGAAAAAGTTTCGTAATTTTCTCGTGTTGACGTGTCCAGATCTCAACTGCGTTGTGTCAGTGCTATTGATGTTCATCACATCAGCACCTATTTCATCAACAAAGTTCAATCCTCTGGATGAATTATTAACCCTTGATGATCCTGCTAAATCAAGTTTTGTTCCCACGACAAGCGTTGGGATCTGAGTACCTGCAAACTGCTCCAAGTCAAAATCTTCAACGGTATCACTCCCAAACCAGTTGTCGTTCGATTTAACACCACTACTAGAGCTATTTGAATTCAAAACCTCACTTAACCATTTTCTTAGATTCAAAAAGGATTTCTTGTTAGTTAAATCGTGAACAAGGATCAGTCCATTCACAGAGTTGTAAAATATTGAACGGCTCTTTTCATGGTTTGCCGAACCACCGATATCCCAAAACTCAAGGAAAAACGTCTTGGCACCTGGCATTCCTTCTTTGTAGTCGTACAGTTTGACTTCAACCGTACAGCCGATTGTCCATGCTGGACTCGATATACTTYCATCATGGCAGATTAGATGCACTAAAGAGGTTTTACCAACGCCTGAATCACCAACTACAAATACACGCACTTTCTCGACGGCAGCCATGTTGTTTTCTTCTTCCCAGGTCTCCACTAATCGTACCAAAGGAAGACCGAAACACCTTTAGCAGGTGAAGAACGCCTGGACGATGTCTGTTTTTAGGGGTCGATTTCTTGCAAAGATACTAAAACAAGGATTTACGACAACAAAACAGTATTCAAGATATGTTAGTGGATTTGTTCCAAGAAGATCCTTTCTTTACATGCCAGGAAATGACGAAAGAAAAGTGAAAAAAGCAACAAAACTTGACGCAGATTGTGTTGTTTTGGACTGTGAAGATGCCGTAGCTTGGAGTAAAAAGGTGGTTTATCTTTTCTTCAAGCAGTATGACATATTAAACTGCTAGTATTTTAATTTGTGTGTATTCTTATTTCCTGTGCTTTTGTTTGTGTACTTCAAATTAGCAAGAAGCAAGAAATATCATTTGCAGTTTATTGGGTGAATTAGAGTTTGGACATAGTGAAGTTTGTGTTCGCATCAACTCAGTCTCAAGTGGGCTCGCTGAAGATGATTTAAGTGCTATTTTCAGTTCTAAAGTACTGCCAAACACTATTGTAATACCAAAAGTGGACACATTAGAAGATATGAAATGGGTAAGAACATAGAACAAATATTTATAATTAATCTATTCATATTCAGCTGTTTCAATGACACCCATGACATTGTTGAGGCAAGATGAGTAGGATCACTTTCAAACAACCCTCAACATACCCAGAGGTCTTCTATATGTACATTAGAGCTGTGCGTATAATTATGTACATCCATGTATGGAAATGGTACAACAGATCCTTCTCGGCAACATTGCGTGATGCCTTTAGTTATTTCTTGTCATTTTCATTATGCAATATCACAGTTTATTTATTTTGTTTTATCATTAAAATGAAAAATGGTTTATTTTTGTGTTGAAGATAAGTGAAAAGATTGGGAGTTTGATGAAACCAAAGAATGAGAAAATCAAGTTGATAACCCAAACTGAAAGTGCAGTAGGTTTGTTAAACCTGAGAGATGTTTGTATTTATGGTACTGATCCTGGTAGACCATTCACTCTTCAAGCTATCATATTTGGGTCTGATGATTTTTTGGTCAGTATTGGAGGTACAAGAACTAAAGATGCACTAGAATTATTATATGCTCGTCAAAGTGTAGTTGTACATGCAAAGGCATATGGATTACAGGCCATTGATTTGGTGGATATAGATTATAAAGGTAATCTGTCTGCATCATCATTCTGTGGTTTCCTTTTCAGTCTCATCTTTTCTCCCTCTCCTCCTTTTATTTACCAAGATGCACCGTGTCTTGCAACACATGGACATGTTTTGTTTGCTTTTTGTTTTTGTTGTTCAATGTTACTGTTGTGTGTTTTTTCTCAATCGTAATTCTAGTAGTCTATGATATTATTACATCAGATATTGTTGGGTTAAATCTGATAATTCGAATGCAGCTTTTGCTCCAAAAATATAATGTTTATTACACTATGCTTTAGATTTAGATAATTTAAAGCAGCAATCAGAAGAAGGAGCAAGAATGGGATTTACAGGTGAGCACAAAGTCCTATGTTGTCAACATGACTTATAAAACACACACATCTGCAAATTCATATATTCTATTATTGTGGATGTTAGGTAAACAAATCATTCACCCAGTGCAGATAAACATTGTGAATACAGCATTCTCACCCAGTGGCCAGAGAATACAGTGGGCAAAAGAGCTGTTGGAAGCATTTGAGAAACAAGAACAAATGGGCAAAGTAAGAATAAAAATCTTTGTGTTCATGAAACCAAACTACATTTGTAAAATAACTTATTTGTTTATTTTTAGGGAGCAATCAGTTTCCAAGGAAACATGATTGACATGCCATTAGTTTTACAAGCAAAGAATGTATTACGTCTTGCCGAGCATGTGAAAACTTATTCCTCCTAATCAAACTGTTTTTCCATGAAGATTRCTGACAGATATGGTTCCTTCTAATAAAACACTGATGATTTGTGTATACAATTCACAAACTGTTTTTCATTTCTATGGTGATTTTCTGAAGATTGAATGATAAATAAAACACATGGTTCTTTGTATTGAAACTTTCTACATCATTACATGTGTGTCTGCTTATTGCATTCATGTGATGATAGTCATATTAGGTGAAGTAGATTTCTTCACTTTTCTTGTCCCTACTGGAAATCTCAGTTATTTATAGAAGAAAAGCATACGTAGGATAATGACAACTCAGAATTAAAAACTTAAACTTGATGTGATAATATTTCTAYATTAGTCATAAATCTTGTGCATGGCTGTATGAATAAGAAGCTAGTCCTTGTAATGTAAACTGTCAGACATTTTTCAAATCCATGTAAATTAAACCAATACAAACTAACACATTTATTTTACGTTTCCCATTTTGTTTACAAACCACAAGTCACAATTCCTTTATTGCATAACTCTTGTTTACAGAAGGTACAGTCTTCTTGTGGCTGTGATTAATTGAATCACGTTTAGAATCTTCTTCTTGAATCTTTCTTTTGACATTTTGTTATTATGTTATWTGACATTGCAACTCTCCATTCAAATTAGAATCCTAATTTATGACCTTTATTTACTTAAACCTACCATGTTCTTTTCTCTTGAATTAGTGGGTAAAGTAATACACAGTTCTTATGTAAGTTCTGGTTTGAGTTTAAAACTAACACATTCACTGAATAATTAATTCAGGTAGATTATAGATAAATTAAAATGTGATTCAACACTTGCAGCCAACATTTGGTGCACTTATCATTTAAATATAGATTCGTTCTTATGCGCCCTCTGATTGTCCAAASGGAATGATTGGTCGGTAGATAGACTTTCATCATAACGTGTACTTTGGAAACATTACTCGATATTTTAGTTTATCGATATATTTCATTTGAGWCATTTGATATTGTTAAAAAACGTTCGTTTTGCTGTCGTTAGCAGGCACTTTTAATAATCACTCTTATTATAATCACTCTGCTATATGCGCTATGGTTCGTCCGTTAGTGTAGTCCAAGGACGATGACTAAAAGTTCACTGGTAAGGTACTTACAGTCCCGCTAATGGAACGATAAGGGCGTCATTTTTCGACCAAAGACTTTTGTGTAATAGTAATGTAATAATGTATAATAATTTTTCTTTCTATACGTCGCTTTTAGTCTTGAGTTTTTTCRTTTGTATCTGTCTTTTTACATGTATTTTCACATTTGTTTCGTTTACTTTGGATTAAATATAATATTTTCAGTAAAAGTATACCTCCATTAATATATTTACCGATGTTCTGTGTGCAATACATTGTCARTCCATATGTTGGTTCCTRATGACGTAGACTGGTGCGCAAATCAAACACAATTAAGTTTATTTAACAGAAAATCAGTCATACGAGGTAAACAAYGCTCAAGTTGCTTTTTACTCGGCTATTACCTGCAAGTTTACTTCAAAGGTTCACAAAACACTCTTGACGTCGCTCGTTCTCATGTAAAGATTGATATTTGTGAATCTCAGAAGACATCACAAAGGTTAGTCTAATAATGACTGCAATACAATTGATTCATGTTTCCGGTCAAAAAGAATTTTGTTCGATTGCGGGTTGCGTCCACACGTATACCACCTTTTCTGGCAATTTTTGGAAACTCTTCGAATAATCGGACACTTGAAGACGCGACTAACGCTTTTATTTAACACAAAGGAAGATATGCCAATTTTTGACTTCGTGTAGACAAGGTTTAAAACTTTTTCTTTTACGTTCAAAGTAAAATTATTCTAGTGAATCCTTAAAAACATCCCTGTTTTTCTTATCATTCTTAAGATAGAGCAGAAAATTATTACCACAATTACCACGTACTTCCACGACTTTTATGATAGGAAGAGGAAAAAATCATTAAAATGTGCTCTGTTTTAAAAATAACCCATAATTTGACATATTACTTCGAGAATGGAAAAGGCCAACAATCATTTTAAAGCYTTGAGTAAATAGTGTCTTAAAGTCTGAGTAGTAATGTCAAAGTTGTGATTTTTATCAAGATTAAAATGAGCTGTTAAACACCACCTGCATTTCCATCAGCTAGTCTACGATGTGTGATTGCATTTAGAATCCTTTCATCTCGATAGCAATATGATAGCAAGGCCGATATTTATGTACGGTACTGCTGACCGAAGCAGAACAGGATCGGCTTATAGCAGGGATTTACAGCTTCGCCGTATAAAAATCAAAAACGCCATCAATATTTCAACTTKCTTAACGAGATATTTTCGATCAAACACGATTAATAAAACCTCATGGGCCATCCGAGATCATGTTGCATCCACAACAAACACGTAGTATTGATTGACGGGGTTATCTTTTGAATTGAATCGAGTCTCTCTCTCTCCAAAACGTTCTGTTTGTTTTCAGTTTCATCATAGCAACTTCTTTTTTCAGGTTCTTTTTTCGAAGTCTTCTCAGCATGAATAACACGACCGACATTAACTATCACGTGACCTTGATATCCGTCGCTAAAGCATTACCCATGATTCTCGTTGCTCTTGCAGCTTTCTTAGAGAACTCGCTTGTGCTGGTTGCGGTTGCTAAGAGCAAAGCTCTTCGCCAGTTGCCAGGCAACGTATTTATCGTAAATCTGGCCATCACTGACGTCATGGGCTCAACTTTATGTATGCCTTTCGGCTTCGTCACTGTTATGACACAAGGGCACTATRTTTTTGGACGTGTTGGCTGTCAGTTTCAGGCGTTCCTTATTGTTACGCTATCCAACGTCACATTTCTTACACTTCTTGGATACAGTATCTTTAGGTATGTCATGATTACCTCTACAACAAGRCARCTAACRATTTCTACTCTTTGGAAAGGGGTCAAGATGTATTTGTTGTGCATTTGGACTTTGGGAATGGTATTTGCTGCCTTACCGTTGGTTGGTTGGGGGAGGTTTTGCTATTTTTCCAGCTATTTTTCGTGCACAGTAGACTGGACGGCTGACAAATCGTACAGCACAACTATATTTGTCTTGGTATTTTTCATCCCACAAACCATAATACTCKTGTCATACTACAAAATATCCAAGTTTGTTCGGCGGCACAAAAAACAGTTGAGTAAATGTCGAAAGATCAGCCATGCTGAACAAACGACGGTAAATATAAATAATGGTTTCAGTCATGACATCAGTAGAGCTTGTCCTTCAAATGTCTATCACCTCTCTCCTAAAATAGTATTTGTTAAGAGCTTTGAAGGTGAACTTGCAAATCCTGTTACTTCAAAAAATGAGGATTTTAGCAAATCTGGTCATCCTTCACTTACACAAGTCCCACAGACTGAGCAACACATCAAAGGTCCTACTAAGGGAAGGTCAGCGGTCAGTCTTTTAAGGATCGTACAGCAAGAAAGACTGGTTAAAATATTGCTGTTTACAGTTTTGGCATTTTACGTATGTTGGTTACCGTTCGCCGTTGCAAGCTTTCAACAGGTCATCGGTCATGGAGGCACAAGACCCAAGTTCTTTGACGTCACGTCTATGTGGTTAGCGTTTTCCAATGCGCTGTGCAACCCCGTTATTTATGGGCTTCTTAATGGTCAGTTTCGCAAAGCATTTCGGGATACAGTAAAATCGATTTATGGCTGCTGCTTTACCAAGTAAAAACAAGAGAAAAACAACCTAATCATCAACCAAATTTTGACATGATTACGCACAAGAGCGAAGTAACAAATCACTGAAGCATATTTATCAGTATTATGTCGTTTSTTCTTTTGACTGTTTCTAGCTTACAAACGTATTATGTTAAAACCCGCAAAGTAATTCATGATAGATTATTTTAATTGTCTTTTGCATAACTCTACTTGTAGAACAAATAATCATGCTTAACTTAATTTAAAAAAACTACTGTGCTGCGTTCTCACAATATTGCGGAGGTGGTACGCCTTGCTGTGGAACTCCTTGTGGCTGCTGGGACTGCTGAGGGTATCCCTGGAATTGCTGCGGAAATCCCTGTGGCTGCTGGGACTGTTGAGGAGGACATCCTTGGAATTGAGGTGGAAATCCATGGAGCTGCTGAGGAGGTTGTTGCAGGTATTGGTTTGGGTGAGCTACTCTGCTTTGAGTGTGCGATGTGACGACGCTGATTCCAGTAACGGCGGGCTGCTGGATTATCAGAGGTGGAGACTAAAGAAAAGACACAGATTCATTAACAATTGTTACCAGGGGCATTCGAATACAGTGAAACCCCTCTATACCGGACCCTCAATATACCGGAATTCTCTCTAAACTGGACAAAATCTTTGGTCCAGAAATTTTTCCATACATGTAAACAAAATTGGACAGTGAGATTTTAAAACATTACGATAAAAAGATGTCATTCCATAACTTTGMCGCAAGACGACTTACTTTCAGAATAAGGTAACTCTAATCAAGCATGTACGCTTACCTGGGGAACATTACAAGTGACAATGCAAGCGATGATTGATCCAGCCAAGGTAAACAATGCACCCAGTGAACTTAGAACGATGAAGGCAACAAGGCCACCCACAACAGTACTGACCAAATCGCAGGCTTTGGCTGTCAAAACCAATATAGATAACTCAACGACTTCATTAATCTACCTGCATTAAAAGCCCTACCTTGGAAGACTAATACTCACTCACACACTACTGGTATCAATGCTTCACGTTCACACCCCTGTTCAATACTTCACAACCATACTCCTACCAAACCATCCCCCACTCTTGATAGTATAGACATTACTTACAGTTCCTCAAATACTCCCGCTGTCCGGAACTTGAGGTACAAACACATCCATAYCCAGTTGAAATGCAATTATCACCAATAAATTCCGCCCAAACAGCGTGTGCAATTCCAGAGACAATGGCCTGAACAGAAGCTGCAATGCATGCAATGATGCACATTGCAAGAAAACTGTTCATCTRCAATAAAGAAATTATTTTTAAGGTTAATTTAATTTAATACAGCTATATTGAGTCCATAGTTAGTGTGCTTTCACGATATCCTTGACTAAGGAAATTAAAATTCCTTGATAACTACTTCGAAAATGGAACGTTATTTTGTAAGCATTGAGAACTCCCAAAGAAAAGGTCCGATTTGATTGGTCGAAGAAGTTTAAATACTTTTAATATTTTCAATACTTGTGAAATTAGACGTATACACAACACATAAGATAGATTGTTATTTACCAATCCATGACTTCGCCTGGGCCATGCTGCAATTCCCAACGCTCCTGCGATAATCAGCTGAAAACAGAAACAAACCAATCACGTGATGCGACTAAATTGTCAGGTAGTGTCCAGTGACAGTGAGTAGTTTATCGAGATGAAATATGTCCAAGTATGCAATGCATTGTGCTTGCTCTCATCCAACTCTCATCCAAGTCTTATCCAACCTTTAATTTTTCCCTCTAATCCTCTGATTTCGATTTATGAATAAAATATCTCAGTAATATCTGTTCCTATATGTATCTTTATGAATATATCTCAGTAATATCTGTTCCTATCTAAACGGTACATAGCTATTTCCATGATTAAGTTCGAATATATCTCAGTAATATCTGTTCCTATATGTATCTAAACGGTACATAGCTATTTCCACAATTAAGTTCGCCATCAATCTTACAGTTTAGACATAGGATCAAGCAGGTTTGATATATTATCGAGCTTAACAAAGTT